GCTTCAGGATCACTGGCCTGAATTCGAATGCTTAAAGTTTACTCAAAACCGGTGTGGCTGAGGCACTCTTCGCTACATCTCGTGACGGCCACCATTGTGTTTCATTTTTCGGTAAGCTATAAGTTAATAAGGAAAGGATTGGTGAGTGGGTTGAAAATAGCCCCCCCTCCACCCCCCCTCCTTCTTCTGGAAACATAAGTAATCGAAAGATCTGGCGATGGTTTATCCACCTCCTCTGCCGCCGCGCTGCGAGGCCTCGATTCGTTCGGTATGTGGCTTCCTGAGCGGTCCTCCCCGGAGGCAAGGTGAAAGGTCATGGCCTGTATCAGAAATTTATACGTTGCTGAATATGTTTTATAGTTCTTCCAAGGCCTTGCACACCGTTTTATTATATCGGATAAACATTGCACTTTCTTGTCAATCAATACATTTAACCCATATATGCATAGACGTACATAAATGTACGTCAATTTGAGTTGACCAATGTGTGCCATCTTTATAGAAATAGAGCTAATGAGCCATCAAACGCGGTCGTTCTAAATCATTTACATTGTTAGCCGTCAGGTGAATACCAAAAAACACGGTTCCAATGCATTCAGTGTTGAGTTTGAGACATTCGGTTTGTTGATGCCGCAACGGGAAGATTTTCACCCGTTCAGACGCTCGACCCAGGGTGAGCCAAGTGTTCTTAATTATAGTTAAGTGCTTTTCCCGGATTAGCTTTCGTTGCCAGCAATCTGCTCAAGCATGACACTAACTTCATGAGTGGTGTCATTATAATGCTAATTTTGCTTACCAAGCGAATCCAAAAATAGTATGTTTCACAAAAACGCACGTACAATAATGTACGTCTATGCATATCCGTTACATTTTGTTTCCCAAACATCAAACACGTTTATGCTTTGGTTTGATGGCAAATGTGAGCCTCAACGATGTTCTGGATCAGGGCTGCGGGAGTCGATGGATTTTCAGTGACTCCGACTCCGACTCCGACTCCGACTCCGGGTAGAACTATCGACTCCGACCGACTCCAACTCCGACTCCCGACTTAGCAGCCCTGCCAGGTCAGCGGAGTCGATGGGTTTGTCGGTGATTCTGACTCCGACTCCGGCTCCGGTTTCCAAAATCGACTCCGACTCCGACTCCGGTCAGAATTGTCGACTCGGACCGACTTCGACTCCGACTCCGACTCCGCAGCCCTGTTCTGGATGGCATCGAGGAGCGAAGTCGAGTCGCCGATGTCACGGTCGTCGTCCTAGAGCCGCCGGAAGTTCGCGTCGACACAAACGAAGACTCTAGCGACGAAGAGAATGCTGACCCAGCCCGCCTGACGTAACTGGTCTGAGCCGTAACTGACGTAGCTGAGCCGTAAAGACGTAACTGAGCCCGTAACTGGTCGCACCCACCGGTTCAACCGGTTCGGGATGATTATGGATGTATGTCACTTCCAAAGCAGCACCAAGCTTGACCCTGATGATCGGTTTTGCAGCAGAGATCCAGAAGCGCCAGTTCCATGGCACGGGTACCATGTGAGGGAATCGCCTTCTGAAGGCGAACAAGTTCACCGACATCAACGCCTTCAAGAAGAAGTCCAATCAGACCATCGAAGCATTTACGACTGCCAACAACGGCTGCAGTGCAGTGCGGCTGTTATCCGCTGGATGGACGTGGTCGAGGATCACGAGTTCCAAGAGGCCATCATGCCGTCACTGGGGAAGGAAGAGCCGGCCGACGCCCCTGGACAGACGCACCTCTCCGAGTTGTAAGTCGAGGGCGACCAGTCGCTCTGCTCCGTTGACCATGCCGGCGACTTTACGTCCGGCTGATGGCCGTCTTTAGTCATTACAGCGGGGCCACGCGCTCGGGACAGTGTCTGACGTGTACAGTGTGGGACGGGACAGGTGGTGCCATTACGACGACCGACGCGTCAGCTGCGTGGACGAGGCAGACGTCCTGGGCGAAGGCCCCCAGCGGAACGGCTACATCTTCTGTCTCCTCAAGAAGCTCTGCAGTCAGGTAGTCAGCATGGAGCGCGCCGGGCGCCGGACTGTGACTGCCACAGGGGAGCACAGGGTCACCGCGTCGGTGGCCAGCAGCAGAACACCTCCTGATCACCATTGACAACGTGCTCTTTTTATAGATCTACTATGTTGACTATTATGTACATAAGACAAGTTTTCAATAGACGGTAAAAGTTGACATAATTGAATTGTGTTTTGCAAATTTCCTTTCCTTATTTTCATCATACATGATCTACATCTACCTATTTCCTAATTCAACGTATGAATTGTGATTACCATTTCCAAGGGTGTCTAATGCAACACAACATATCATACATCATATTTGACCATACAACACAAGTTATTCCCCTCGCCCAGGTTAACGATGACATGACGTCACCCTACCCCCTCCATAACCCCATCCCCACCCTAACCCATCCCTCATACATCGCTTCTGAAGTACGAAAGACGTTAGCATTGTATTAGGGGTATCGGATGTATTATTTTAGGACGGCGGCGGCAGACGTCACAATTGTCTTGTTGACACCTGGCATAGACGTACATTTTTGTACGTCACTTTGAACGAGCATATCAGGCAAGCACTAAATGTAAAAACAAAACAGTTGATGTCAGCAGCTTAGTAACATGTTGTTTAACAAGGCTAGAAAGTTTCATACAAATACTCGACAAAAAATTAATTCATGCATATATGGGTTAAAGAAAACTTGATCATAATCTTATACTGCGGCAATTGTAGTTCTGCTTACGGTTGCCTCTTTATGATACGGGCCACCACCACCTCCACTGCGCTGGAGCTCAGGCGTTCTACCCCTCCCCGCTACGGACCGGCCCTTGGGCTAGGTGTGTTAGTACTGAGCGCAAACCTGTAGTAGTCACGTGACTTTCATTCACGTAGCGGGAACGGAAGCTATAGGCGATACCAAGGACGGGCTCTGGGGAGGCAACCGGCGCGGAAAAATAGCACGATTGTAGTTTTGGAAGAATATCTGTTGCGGTAAGAGGAATTATACAAAACATACGTGCTAGGAGCAAACATGTGTTATTCCTCCATACTTTGCGCTACATTTCCTTTCTCCAATGGCCAGCACTTAGCAAATGATAGCGCAATTCTAAATTGGTAATATATGTGTACAGTAGCAACTGCGGGTCCCTGTACCTGAATTCCCAAGCCTATGCCAGTCACTGGGAGCCCAATGCGTTATCTGATGGCCAACACCGCCCTTGGAGCGCGCAGCGGCAGCCTCAATTCCTCAAGAACGTTGACTTGAGAGGCCGCCATGCCGGTGTCAATGGGCTCCGCTTCTCGGTTTTTGATTCCTTATGCAAGTTGAACTTTGGTTTTACGGTTTAAAGCAAGCTTCTACCAAAAAAAAAAATGTTGTTTCTTTGCACTCTAGAAAAAAATGGCACAACTTTTTATCTATTTCGGGCGCTGCGGGGGGGGGGGTTGGACTCGGCCTGAATGCCACCCTGGATCCTCCAGTGAGGTTTTGGGTGGGACCCTCCCCCCCCCCCCCCCAATCCCACGCGGCGGAGCCCCTGGAAGAAATGGGCAAGTTTATCGAGAAGACTTCTCCATTCAGAATTGTGAAAAATTATCAATATGAATTTCTCCATTCAGAATTGTAAAAAAATTATTAATATGAATTTGTACTTTATTCTGACTTTCCAATCAAAAGTTCAGCACTGGATGGTGGTTATTCACTTCAAAACCTTAGAGTTTTTGGTAGCTGTTGCTTGAACATATGCTTGAACATATCTCATGATTGACAGTCTGCTTCCTAAGAGCTTTCTAAAAGTCGGCGCGCCCCTAACCCAACAAACAAACAAACAAACAAACAAACAAACAAACAAAGAAACAAACAAACAAACAAACAAACAAACAAACAAAGTCTTAACATGACCTCAAATGGCTTATTTGTGACTGACCTGTTTTGTGTTGAAATGGTAGCCCTAAAAGAAAAGTTAGAAAACCATGTGATTATTACGGAGCGAGCGAAGCGAGCGGAGTCTTAGAGCGGCCGGCCGGCCGTGGTCACGACTCTGCGACGCTTATATCTCAGCAACCACTTGACCGATTTACATGCGGTAATTTTTGTAGGGTAGCTTCATTCCTTTTACCAAGTATTGGACGATTCCCGATGCATGTGGGTGACCCCTTATGCACGTGCCACGTGCAAAACGAAGATGTGTCACTTTTGTAATAGTTGCAATATCTCGGTAACTACTGGGCCGATTGCGCTGAAAGTTGGCATGTAGGTAGGCACTAGGCACCCACTAGGCAATGCATACACATGTGCCAGAGTTGGGGTGCTGCTGCACGTGCGCACGTGCAGGGGTTGTTTCCATATCTCGAGAACGGCTGGACCGATTGCGCTCAAATTTGGTACACGGTTACGGAGCAGTTAGTAGGGTGCCGTGCACAAGTTAGTTGGGACCCATTTTGCACGTGCGCACGTGCAGTGTGCCGCTTCCAGATCTCGAGAACGGCTGGGCCGATTGTGCTCAAATTTGGCACATCGCTAGAGACCGGTTAGTAGGGTGCCGTGCACAAGTCAGTTGGAGATACCCTCTCGCAATTTCGCACGTGCAAGGCCCACCCTCTCGCTCGCTCCGTTAGTCGCCCCAAAAGGCGTTATACTGGTACTATTTCCCTTTCTTTGTGTCAAGTGTAAGGTCAGGTCATAGTGAAGGTCATGTCCAATGCAGCAATGTTTTGGTTTTCATGAGCAAGGTGATGATTATATTATGTACTGCTTTCTAAATGTTGATTGCTAGGCATCCCTCAAAAGTTTCATTGTCATTGTCCAATTCAACCATTCCCTTCCACTGTATTAAACTGAGCTGTATTTCACATTTTAAAAGATCTTTTTTTATAGAAACTCACTGACAAGTTGTGTGTCCTGACCTCCGTGCTCGACTGTTCTCTACCTGTGTTGTTTAGCTAATAGCTATGTGTAACCTCTGTCCTCCGTTCAGACTGTGACCGGTCAGCTGCACAAGTCCCGGCTCGGCTCGGGGGGCCGCGGACGCTGCATTCAGCGTCATGGCGAGTGGCTTACCCCCACCGAGTTCGAGGCGCTCAGCGGGCGGGCGCAGAGCAAGGACTGGCGGCGCAGCATACGGTGCGTTCGGGGTGGATATTCGTGTATAGTCGACTACAGAATGATGTTCCACTTTTCACAAGCAATTATTTGCCTGGAGTGGTAGGCTGTGCTGCGTCACACGGGCTGAGTTCACAAATTATAGCTTTGTCCCAATGCTCACAATCGACACGCTTAATTGCGTGATAAACGGCACAACTTAGCGCTCCGGCCAACTGATAGCTTCTGAGTGGAACATCATTCTGTAGTCGACTATACCTGGGCTGGGCAGACCATGCTGAGGTAGAGTCTGAGTGAAAACAATCACCAGCACAGATGGATAGTTGCTAAATTTGCTCCGGGGTGGACTCGTGGCAGCGGAAGGTACGATGGGGCTCATTGGTCGCTACTTTTGGGTACCCCAATGACTAGTTCGACCGAACATTCAAAGGCTGAAACAGACTCTTCCCCGCATTTAAGAAATCGTATGCGAAAGCCTATTCAAATACATTTTAATTCTGCCTGCATCAATCGCATACGGGAGGTGCGTGCGATTGATGCGAGCGTGCTTCCATGCATTTGATTAGGATCTCGCATGCGATTTCCTGACTGAGGAAAGAGTCTGTTTCGGACTTAAAGTACTCTTTAGGGTTTAATATTGTGAGAAGGTACTACAATAGTCAACTGTATAGTCAATAGTTAACTGGATAGAGCAGCAAGATCTTGGAAATATCAGGCTGCTGGAAGAGCTTAGACGGAGAGCTGATTTAGCTCGATGTTTTCTCAGCTGAACCCGCGTCAGGATAATGGCCCGATCGGCCCGATCGTAACAAATCGAGGGGGGAGGTACGTTGTTTTTGCATTTTACGCTGCGTTCATAGAGTGTGAGCTTATAGAGTTGAACACTGTGGATAACCATCGATAGCTCTTTTTAGGTCTTTCGTGAATGAAATGTTGCATTTGACATATACGGTTTGGCTTTCAGAGGGCGAAACCGTCGATACGACGTGTATCAAAAGTTGTCAGAAATCTATTGGTGGCACTTCAATCATGACCTAGCATAACCTTCGTGATATAAGTTGGGGTCACAGGTGGGTGCTTTGTTGAATGCGGGAAGTTGGTGCCATTTAATGATTGTCTTCCATCGAGGCACAGGTGATGGAAGGCTTTCGAGTGAAATATATTTCATAAATACAAACAGGGCGGAACATGGTGACGAACGTCTTACATACCACGACAATGATGGGTTCAAACACAATCAGGGAAGACTAATCAACGTAGGGATAAAACATTCCTAAGGGAAGGATGTCCATTGTCCATTCTGTATACCTTACCGCCTGAAAGGCCGTTAGTAGCTGGTAAATTGAGCCGCATTTGGTACAGTGTGTTGCGTTAGCACGGCGCGGCGGCTTGCTGCTCAGACCCGAGTGTCTCATATCACCAGTCATGTCGAGCTGAAGTCGTGCATCACCTTTGGCTCCGGTATGAACCCGCCCGTAATCTCGTGGGTCACGCCGGTCGGCGGCTTTGACGCGTTCAGATAGTAGCTCCAGTAGCACATATTGAACAACACGAACATGATGGGGTACACGACGATGGAGACCTTCTCAAACTTGATGGCTCGTTGCTCGAGTCTCTCGGAGACGTCGCCGCCGGGCGCGGGCAGCACCTGCAGCGGGCCCGACTCGGCGGCCGGCAGCTGCTGCGGGCTCACCAGGGCGCGCGTGGCCGGAGCCGACGGCTCGGCGAACGACACGCGCTTGCTGACCAGGTCACCGTGCACCGGTATATCGGCCATCGACGGGCCCGGCTCGGGCGCGTCGCAGTAGACGGAGGGCGTGGCGTCGGGCCCGTCGTCGGCGTCGGTGTCTCCCTCGGCGCCGAACAGGTCGTCGAACACCTCTCTGTTCTCGACGAGCGCCACCGACACGGGCAACAGGAAGCTGGGGTTCTCCTGTTTGTACGATTGTGAGACGACAAACAGCAGCCGGATGTCCACCAGGCAGTCGACAATGGCCACAAACACAAACAGGAAGCAGCCCTGCATCCAGACGTCGATGCCGCGCAGGTACGAGGCGGACGGCGAGTGTTTGCTGATGATGGAGTTGAGCGCGGTGAGTGCCAGCAGCGTGGTGATGGTAAGGATGATACGACCCTGGGCATACGGGGGAGGGATGAAAAACGTCAGCCACGAGATGATGACGAACAGCACCGTGGGGAAGTAGATCTGCAGCAGGTAGAACGGCAGCTTGCGGCTGAATACCAGCATGAAGCCGATGCGGGCGAAGGATCCTGTGTCATACTTGACCTTGTTGATCTTAAGGACGACGACGTGCAGTGAAAACTGGTCGATTTTGTAATCACTCAGCAGGCCGATTGGGTTGTCTGGATCCCATATTAGGTCCTGTTCGGTGGTTCGGATACGCCAACTCTCCACATACATGGGACAATATTGAACGTCCAATGGGAAGTTTCTGAAGTTCATCTCGCAAGATAGCTTGAATTTCCCGAACATCGTGTAGCTGACGTTACCGAACTGATCGATGCGAAGAGCGTCAGAGTTTACCAGTACCTTTGAAATGTGCAGTTCTTCTACTCGATTCAAATATACGTCAGGAAACCAGATTGCCTTGGTAGCCTCTTCTGGTAGATAGCGCACTGGACCGTTGCTTAGCTTGTTCAAGTTGGGGCAATCGTCAGTGAACTCGGGCGGGGGTTTTAGTCTGGTGTCTGTCCAAAACTGCTTCAGTGTCAGTAATAGCACGATGACTTCTTCATGTTCGTTGACATCCATGACCCGAAGTATGTCCACGATTATCCGAATAATGATAGGCTCTGCGTGCTTGTCAGGCGAAGTAGCCTCTATACTATCAGTTGGCAGTGGCTGGAATATTTTATTGTAGTCTGGACCAACGAGAGAACTTTGGGCACATTTCAAAGCATGCATTTCTTCTTCGAGAAGTGAGTGCGAATGTTCAGGCTCTTCAGTGGTTTGTAGAAGTGATGATCCATTTGTTGAAACTGTGATGTTTGGATCCTCCGCAGAGTGACCAATGTTCACCAGGGCGAAGATAGTAATGCAAAGATAATCATACCTACAAACATTAATTCGCTTACACATGCCCTGCATTTTAATGCAAAGTCGTGTTTGCACTTCGATGGCCAGACAACTTAACCCTAGGACAGTGACGTAATGAACTTAGTAAGTGACAACGTATTTTTTTAAGATTACGTAATGATAAATTTATGAAGTATTTAGCGTGGGTTAAGGTGCAGTAGGGTGGGAGATAAGCGCCAACGAGCTTGGACTGTGGGAAAGACACTTATGCACATGCACGGAAGTCGTGAAGGGAAAAGCGGGAAAAGGAAAGAAAGGAAATACTACTCGTTTTGTCTTGGTCAGAAAACAAGTTATCCAGCGCGTGCACGGTAGGCCAAGGGTCTATCAGAATTGCGTATATTCAATAGGGTGAAGTGTTTCCTAGAGGTGTACCCAGTTTAGTGTTTGGAAGATGAAATTTGGATCACAGTTTTTGGAGGAAAAAAACATTCAGGGCCAGCATTGCAAAGCAACTTTATGGTCTTTAATCACCAAGTTAAAAATGATGCCGAAATATTGTAATGCCGTGTATAAGTCTGTTTTTCGTATCTTCTACCTTCACTCAAAGACGGTAAACTCTCTAATCACGTGCTCCAGCGAACATATATGTAATTAAATCAACACCGGTGCAAAGTCAATTGTTATCTCGAACATCTCGAACGCAAGATCGGACGTCTGCCCTTGGCCTATCCCGTTAAAGGAAGGGTGCCACCTTTTGGACACAACGCAGTTTTTACAAGATTAGCCTCACATGAACCTAAAAACCGGCTTCACTTACCTATGCTCGAGACGGTCAGCATTGAATCCGCACGTGAAGTTATCATTTGCGAGTTTTGCTGCCAGCATTCGGGCAGGCAAAAATCTTCAGCACTATTTCCTCGTCGTGTTAAGGGTATTTTATAAAACATGAAATCAGCAAAGGTATGTATAAAAGTTATACTTTTGAAGCATGTTTTATCATTTTGAAAGGGTATATTTTTTCTTTATGGTATACCTACACTTAAGTTTTAAAATTTTAATTGGGAAGTTTTTCTAGTAAGTTGCATGAAGGGTGAAGGGTTCCATAGATCTCTTAAGCATTGTAAAGGAAAAACCTTTACTCGACTTATTTGATGTTCTTTAACTGTTGGCAAATATGGCCAACAGTTACCTACTTGGTTACCTACAACTTAGTTCAATTCATGTTATCTTCTTCCTTTTTATTTGTTCATCTTTTTGTCTCAGTTGCGCCATCAATGCAAATGGCAGAATGATATGTTGCCATGACAACAGGATATGCCAGCCGTCCTAGCTGCCACATCAAACGACCTTGAGTTGTAGTGGTGATATAAACAACGATCTTTTTTTTTTTGGCCAATGTATTAAATGCAATGTTTCGGTTTTTTGTATATTGTGGACGCGCTAACCACGTCTAAAAATTCAAATAAGTAAAATAGATTCATAGAACAAAAATTTCGGAAGGTGGCACCCTTCCTTTAATCAAAATGCGATGTTCTTTGTCAAGTGAAATGCATTTGCATAAAAACGTGACATCATATTTTAATTTTGGCAAAATTATCCCTTTCTAATTTCATTATGTTTTCAAACAACAGAAGGGCAATGGCCTTGGTCTCAGACAAGACAAAATGATCGTAACGTTTTCTTTCAACGTTTCAAAGCAAAAGAAATGTGGGTTAGGTGACTGAAATAAGGCGGTGAAGAAGGAGCACAACCAACGAATATCGCCAGAACAAAGAACTTACTTCCTTGGATACCAGAAAGAAAAGTGTTGAAGGCGCGGAGAAACACTGTCGGTGGTGGCACAGCTCAACTCCGTCATGCTTTCAGCGCAATATAATACGAAAAATGCATACGTGGGTGTTATTGTTGTTATTACCTGCATTTGTGTATCATAATATAAGCCCTAAGGCGTTGGTGATTGCCAGCGGTCACTCAAAAGGTCATGTCAGATGATACAAGATCACCAGCAACTTTCGACAATACGTAATAGCTGCTAGAACTAAAGATGTTTCGACGGCGCTGTAGTTCAATCGGTTGACAAGGTTTGGTCAGATTTGTCCAAACATGTTGAGCTCGGGAGTTTTTTAAATTAATGACCTTCAGCGGCCTTCACTATTGACCTCAGCAAAATGCGGTATATACCTACTATATACGTATACTGCTGAAAGTAATTGTTGAGAGCTATCGATTCTTGCCCGTGTCTTCGCACCTTTCTTATTTTTCGGGATGATCGCGTGAGGCAGATAGGAAAATAATAAGATGAAGCAAATCTGCCTGGGGACCCCCCAAGCGGGCGTGGACTAAGATAATTTTGTTATTCGTCGGTGTAAAAGTTATCGCAACGTAAATAAAGCAAAACATAAATTAAGCACTTGAAAAAATATAGGTAACACATTTAGTTTCTTTTACCCAATGACAAGGAAGTGCTAGCTTTAAAATGTTCTTTAAATGTTCTCAGCAAAACGTCCTTGTGTATAGGTCGGTAGTCAGTACCAATAAACCGTGGTAACGATAATACAAGCGATACTCTAGCTTAAAGGTTTCTTTTCCGATTTGAACTGCGCAGCGAAGTCGAACTCCAACACGAGCAACAAACTCCTGCAATGAGTGGTGGGCCATGCGGCTAAGATTTGAAAACTATACCCTAAAAACGTGCTGGAGGAACAAAACATCTTTGAGTGAAGGTAGAAGATACGAAAAACAGACTATAATCATGATTATGCCGTGTAATCATCAAATGTGTTGAACTGAAATGATCTTGAAATGAAATGGCATGCATGTTGTTATTATAATAGTGCCGCAAGGTTCCAGCTTCTTGTTGCCCAATCGCCCCCCCCCCCCCCTGATCATGCATTAGCCGCTGTACAAACGCCACTAGTCAGTGGTCAATTCATGGCTAATAAGCCTCGCAATGCTAAATTCTCGCGATCCAGGCATTACTATCAGATAGTTTTGTCATTTTGACCGTGAGCCGTATTGTATCCGTGAGTAATACCGTAAACCGGGGTGAGTTGATATGGGGTGGTGAGTTGATATAGATTGCTCGAAAAATGTTAAAATGTGTGCTGCTCATCCATTTGTAAACCAATTTTCAGTTTTATTTTTCTGTGAAGTGAAGCAACCAATAAGTGATGCATATAGCTGAGAAAGGCATGCATGTGGTGCAGTGCTTTCTTAACACATTACTTTTTTCAAAGTCCTTTTTTTTCTTCTGATTTTGAAACTAAGGAAAAGTCCCCACCCTACAGCAAAGACGGTGGATATTCATGGAACAACATGCACTGGGAAAGAAACTACCATCAATTTACTGTTGATCCCAGATAGTTTTGGGTTTCACCTATAACAACGCTTTTTTATAATTTTAAGAAAAGTGACAGGTGGTGAGTTGATATGCCATTAAGTGGTGAGTTGATATGCATGATAAAAGCTGATACCAGGCTGGTATGCATGCAAATTAGCATGAATTATGGGTCTGCAGGTAAGACAAAGTCAATTAGACCAACCCTTCTCCTTTTCTTTCCCCACATCATTCCATCAACCCCCAAAAGCTTTAGTTTTTTTCTGAATGCTTGAGACGAGGCCTGTTAGTATCTCTGATGTTAGTTGTCGGACTTTCGTCCCCGTCTTGAGTTGAGATGTTAGTTTCACAACGTTTCAGCCAGTAACTTCTCCTGCCATGGTCAAATCTGCCTCGATAGTGGAGTTGTTAGAACCGTGGACCATCACCGGAGAAACCCGAGTTCGATTCCCGCTGACATACAGGAGCTTTCGAACTGTTTGACGCGTACGGCGCAACGCCACCAACATCCAGGTCCTCCTGAGGGTCAAAGAACACCTGACGAGTGACGACGGCCGGAGAGTGACTGGCCGAAACGTTGTGAAACTAACTTCTCAACTCAAGACGGGGACGTAGGTCCGAGACCCCAAAGTTTTTTTTTCTGTGGACATACCTAACATGCAAAAGGCACAGCAAAACTCCTTGTCAAGTCTCAAGATGGCTCCCTACAAGCTACAAAGGAACACTGTAGAACACCTATATACATACAGATTAAAAAAACTGTTACAATTATTCGTAGTTTCGAAAATGACAGAACTGTCGTTTCTGTATGGCTAACAGCGCGGGAATTCTGATCTCGTGAAACTGATTAGTTTTCCTGCTTGGCAGTTGCCAACCGAGAATGAGTGACAAAATGAAATGGAACAAACAATATAAAAAATTGACTGGTGTTTTAGCCCTCGCCCGTATTCGTGTTTTGCCAGCGTTTAACGTATAGGGGCGGGGAGGGGGGGTTCGTTGGAATCCCATCGTCGTTTGGCCCCTGGTGGAGCTAGAGCTTCGCGGAAAAAAATGAGCGTGTTGCCCGAGACGCGAGGAAGCCGATGACAACCAACTTTAATGTCCTAGGTCATTGGTTAACCTTCCAGGCCAGGTCAATTACCCAGAAGTCGGGAAAATAGGGGGTTATTTGAAGTTCGTAAAGCGAGTTTATTATTTCTTGGCTGTTGCTGATCACGAATGTCATGTTAGTTTTGATCACAGATGTTTTCGTACATTTAGGCCAGGTCAGGTCAGGTCAGGTCAACCAGTAGGTGTCCTGCCGGCTATCCATAGGGAGTGTCAAGTGTCAACTACCACTGACGGTGTCGTAACATGTTACGAAAGCACTAAAACTACTTCATAAATGATCAAATGCATGTTAAATTCGAAATCGGCCCGAAAAAAACTACCCTAGAAACATGTAAAACTCCAAAAAGTGAACCGAGGTCACCAAAGGTCAATGACCTGACCAGTTGACACCCACAATACTGCGTGGGACCAACATCATTTACATGTTTGGACGTTACAATCACAAAAAGACTGGAAATGCGCGGATAATGTGAGCCGACTACGTCAAATCGCGATTCCGGCCAAGCATGGTCTCGAGAATCAGGTCACAAGTCAAAAACCATTTGAGTCAGGGTCATGAAATCTATAGAACATGTGTAAAATTGATAAACTCGAGAGGTACTGAAAGTTTCGTCGTGATCGGCCGCTTTTTGCGCGAGTTATGTGCGAAAAGCCGAGGTGGTCCGTTCGCCCGCCTATAAGTGCGAGGGTTAATTTTGGCTTTTGATGCCGAATTCTGTTTTATGTCGCTTATTTCACCTTATAGAATACAGTCCGAATTAGATTCGCTTCACTTCACTTCATTAATATTTTGTTGACTACCAGTCAACAAAAGCTCAGAAGTATATGCATTCTTTCATTTCAATCCATTATCTCTGTCAGAGGCATATCAACCTTGACCCGCAACTGACAATGTGTTTTAATTACAAGAAAATACACTTGTAATTCCAAAATATATTGCCAGTTTTGATACCGTTGCCTTGAGGACACGTGACTAGCCAAGTTCAGAATGTTCTAAGTAAAACTAAGTATCATAAAGCGAAAAAATGATGCTGCTAAAATCAAGCCATTTTGATAGCGCTGTGTTGGACATGCTTGCGTTTTCATGAATGTGAGGTCTGCTGCCAAACTACTACCATTTTTCTGATGGTTTCTTTCAGGATGTGTTCTCTCATCCTTTTTTTAAACACTGACATTTTATCAACTCACCTCTGAGCTTCTTTAGCCGAGAAATTTTGAAAAATCTAAAACCATATCAACTCACCACCCCCCAGGGGGTGAGTTGATATGAACTTTGGCGTTTTAAAAAAGGGGCTTAATATATACATTTTTTCTTCATTTTTTATGATTGCCTCCCCAAGGCATGTGCCATGAAACTGGCACAAAAAGAATTCCGTAAATGAATGAGGCTTTTAAAGAAATCTAGAAAAACCTCAAAATCCATATCAACTCACCCCGGTTTACGGTACCTCGCATCCCGTCATCGTCCTAAGGCCCTCTGCGACTCAGTTATCTCAGGCGCTCTGCTCTGTTTTCCGACAGGTTCGAAGGAAGGAGCCTGCAGTCCGTGATTGACGCCGGTCTGCTGCTGCCACACGCCGCCAGCTGCGCGTGTGCCATCTGTTCCGACGACCCGGCCGTGGTAAATACTAAATACGTCTCCGGTCATAGCGCTGTACTACAAGTTGTTTGCAAACTGATCGGTAAACTTATGCTAGATAATGACTAAATTGTCAAATGAAAACAAAACTCATGCAAAAAAATGTGATTACTTTCATTTATACCAGCTCTTCGTAGTTCATGCTCGTCGACATATTTTTAATCGTTTTTAGATGAATGCCCAAGGGCTAATTTTCATCATGCGTACTGCGTAGTAAACAAATGGTGCAAAATAGCGTCTTGTATGTACAAATGTAAGTCTTGTCACATAACTCTTATCTCCAGGTCTAGTTGAAGCCGTGTCTCTTTAAATGCCCCAGAGAGCTTTAGATACCCGGAGGTCAATAAATGCTCCCGGAGATCTGAGCGCGTCTGCTCTGTTCCCCAGTCGGCGCCGGTGCGACTGTTCACCCCGTATCGGAAGAGAAAGTTCCGCGCGGCACTCGGCTCCTCGTCGCCGCCCCCAGCTGAGCCGACCTCTGGTGAGTCGTCAGAACATCTGCCATCCCGCTGGTCCTATGCTTTGATGATATTTTAGCAAAGTTATAAAAAAGCTATAAATATTTTGAATATTGATGTTAGGTAGACTCTTTCTCTTGTCCTGACTTAAACTTGGGAAAGAAGGGAGAGCTGATCAGGCATGTTTATTTGTGTTTGACTCTCGATTTGCAAAATTTCCTGCCTCCGTGCGTGTTTGGACGGCTGAATTGAATTTTACCGTGTTTGACCTCTCTTTCTGCTTGTCATCCTAAGCTCACTCAATTTATCCGGTTTACTCTCGTCACAAGTTATGTCACTGCAGTCGGTGTTTGACGTTTACCTCCCACTGTATTAACAATTTTCTTTTGCCGACGTGTGTCCGTCGCAGACGCCGCTGGTGGACTGGACCTGCCTGACTCGGGCCCTGATGAGACGGAGCTAGCGGAAGAGATCAGCGCCCTGCCTCCTGACCGCATGTGGGAGAGACTGGAAGAGGTAGGCACACGGTACTCATAACTCAGATCAGCCGCAGCGCCCTGCCCCCTGACCGCATGTGGGACAGATTGGAGGAGGTGGGTACACGGTACAGGAGTACAGGGTACACGGTACTTAGATCAGCGCCCTGCCCCCTGACCGCATGTGGGACTGGGCGGAAGAGTTAGGTACATACATACACACGGTACATACACGCCCACGACTTTTGCCATTTATTATTTCTTCACGACTTATGATTACCACTTATGCTATTCTGCTGATCGTATCTCCGTACTGTGTTGACCAAGTGTGTCGCAGGCTCCTTACATACACTCACCCTGCGTCGACAGATGTCCTGGTCGGTGCTGCGCCAGGCTCTCACTCTGAAGCAGATTATCAGGACCTGTCGCGAGCGGCAGGCGTCCACCGCTACCTCCAACGCTAACGGAAGGTACGACAGAGAAGGTCCGGCAGTCGGCCCGCGGGTTGTGGGAGAGAAACGGTGGCGGACTGACATGTCGTGCCGCGATCCACTGTGGCCTGTTAGTCGTCGTCTGCTCGCTCTAGGCTACTCTGACATTTTAATAATTTTCACTATTACATAGATGATTACAAATACATATTATAAATACAGACTATATATGCCAACTTTTGGGACAAGGTATATTATCACCATATCAGTTATCAGGGCAGCAGCGGCTCGCTGTGCTGTGGTTTCTCTGTTACCGAACGTGGTTCGCTATTTGTTCTGTCATTGTCGTATCTCTCTGTGTGTCTGACCGGGTCTATGTGTGTCTCGCAGTGGGGCCGGGGCAGAGGAGAGGAGCTCAGCTCCCACACCCTGCTGCGTCCAGCCGGCCAACGAACACACCATGGTGAGAACACGAGTGCCGTGGTATCAGTTTATCGCGATACTAAGGCACACCTGCTGGAGTTTAGGAATAGGGAGCTCCTAATGGCGTATTTGGGGTGGTTCATCACCGTGTGTCATTGCTGTAGGTAATTCAGTGATCGGCAGGGTGGTGCCCCCCCCTCTTTGGGTGCCAACAGGGTCATTATCCCTAACTACCCAGACCCCATTGCCGATACAACTAAAGTCGATGGGATTACACATATTTCGGTGACTGTAACTATTTCTGCATTTTAAATATCTCCGTAGAGGCGAGCAGTAAGAAGAGAACGGGATTGCGAAGCTCAAGTGTCCGCCGAAGGTGGAGGTTTTCCCAGATGCCATTATTACCCCTGCCGAAGGGCTCGGTTATGCCCAGGGGGGGGGGGGGGAGGTGGCATCCCAGCCTTTGCTTTTATTTGTTCTTTGGTCGCCTCTTTATTGCAAATTTATTTCAACTGGAGTTTGATCATTAAATGCTTTTGTATTTTTCCCATTTAAAGTTTTTTTTTGCTCCTGTCACGCAACATTTGCGTCGTTTGACTGCCTCTTGTGTCAAGGCTCGTCTGTCTGTGCCTTTTGTCCCTTCTAAGTGGCTGTTATTCTTCCATGGCTCTACCAGTCCTTCTCCCTGCTCGGCAGTTCCGAACCCTCGACAGTCCCCTTTCCACCTATCCGCAGTGTTCCGATGATAAGCGCTGGTGTTGAACTGTGCGCCCCCTTGATTGTCCCTCTGACCGTCCGCTCTGTCCTTCCACAGTGCTCCAACTGTAACCGTCCGCCGGAGCTGGAGTGTGGCGCGTGCCACAGCGCCACCTACTGTTCCACGTTCTGCTGCCAGAAGGACTGGGAGAGCCACAGGGGCGGCTGCCGCCCGGCTGAACCCGCCCCCGCCCCCGCCACCGCCCCCGCCCCCGCCACGGCAGAGGAGAGCACCGCAGCACCGCCCACAGTCATGTACATAGTGGCTAACGGCACTGAGCACGTCGTCACCGTGTCTCAGACGTAGTGCTTGAGGTGAGGACTCGGTGAGGAGTCGGATAATGGATGAGGACTCCTGGACTCCATGTGAACTCAGTGAAGTCTGTGAGGACTCGGTGAGGAGTCGGAGAATGCATGAGGACTCCTGGACTCAGTGAGGGGTCAGTGGACTCTGTGAGGACTCTTGGAGGACTCTTGGACTCAATGGTCAGCCAAGTGAGGGCTCGGTGAGGATTGGATGGAGACTGACTGGCGTGGACCTAGTGAGCGCTCAATGAGAGCTAATTGAGGAGTGAGTAAGGTGTCCTTCTGAAGCTACAGTGTGCTTGGTGGACGGGGTCCCTGCTGCAGACAATGCTGTCAAAACTGAACTCACTTTATCATTGCATCACGCTGAACACATTTCAGTTGGGGAAACTACGAGGCGCCGAACTAAAATTTGGTCAGCCAATCAACGGCTGGAGTGGCGGGGGCGATGACCATATATGGTCATAAAATCAGAAATCTTCATCTTTTCCATGCATCCTAGCATTCAAATGAAAAAATAAGGCATAAAATGTGTTTTTAACCACACAAGGCCTACACTCACTCGGTGCACGATGCACTTGCGGCTCTAAATTGCAGAGTTACAATACAAGGTCAAACAGTGATTGGCAAATATGGCAGATTGAAACAGACGCGCCAAAAATTGTAATCAGCACCGTGGTTTTAAAATGTCAGGTTTTTATTATTTTGTATGTTTTTTTTTTCAATCGTGGTCAAATCATTATTTTAAAATTAAATATATTTTTTATTGTAATGAAATTAAATCTTAACCATTTTCTTTCAAAATACCGATCTATTTATGGAATGGCAAGCTGATTGTGACGCCGGGATCCTGCAGAAAAGCCGTTTTCCTATCGCCATTTTTGAGTGAATTCGTCGAATTTAATCGAATCGCGTCAATTCCTAGTGGAAAATGGAAGCCTTTTCTCTGCGATAAGTGGGCGCGATACCGCAAGTACCGGCACGTTATACCGTTTATCACCCGTAGAAGCGAGGGCTGCATTTATGCCCATATATGGTCATCATAAGTCTATTTATTGACCGATCAATTTTTGGATCTTCGCCTCGTAGTTTTCCCAACTGATTTGCCTGTGGCACTGTGTCACCTGCATCTTTGACTTCGTGTTTTCGTGTTGCACATTGCTTTTTTGTGGTATCGTGTTGCAAGGTGTACCAAGTGGAGCTTGGGACATCCGCAACTATGGTATCGCTTAATATATTTGTATATAATAAAGTAAGTGTTACAAGCTGTGACGTGCTGCTTGGTCAAAGGCAGTCTCTGCCAGAGGCTAGGTACTGGTATGAGTGTGTCACTGAACCCTTAGCTCACAATGTCATGTTGACATCGTGATGAGACCTCCGTTCATAAGAAAAGAGAGTCCCGAGTTGTACAATTACATCCGCCTTAGTTGCAAAATAACCACACCTTCATGGGACTGCCTGTTTAAACCTGGGCATTTCGGTAGAAATACTGCTGGCTCAGGTCGTTTTACTCCGCCTGGCTTAGCTACAAGTTACAACAACTACAGCACATAGCTGCGGCCCACCATCATGAGCTTCATGGGCTTGTTGTTATTGCGATAAGCTGTTGTGATGGTAAGGTTTTCCAGGCTGACAAGATGTGCAGAGCCCGAGCCACGGTTTAACAGTGCGCCTTATTGCATTGTTTCTATTGAGAAAAAAAAACGTACAGGAGCATCAAAACACATCCCCCCCCCCTTCACGTCGCTGTTCAAAGCCGCAATCAAAGTTCGGATTTTCTGCAAGGGCTATGAGGCAATTATGTTATGAAGTTTTCTGCCATGGCGACCACTTTGAAAACATTCCTGTTTATCACTACCTTGTAACTTGTAAAGGCCTGGCTACACTATGCGTTTTCTGCGTGCGTTTTTGCAGGTTTGCGTGTTTTGCGTAATATCGTACTAGGAAAAAAGTTATAAACAATATGATTTTTACTTTGGTTATATACAAAAGCTAATATAACTCTTATCTAACTAGAATTTAAGGTGAAAAACATCACAAAAACGTAATATCGTTCTTTTTTTCTAGAACGATATCACGCAAAACACGCAAACACGCAAAAAACGCACGAAGAAAACGCATAGTGTAGCCAGGCCTTAAAGGGACCCTCCCACCTTAACATTAGATTTGAGTTGAGATAGCCAAAATGGGGTCCCTGGCTCACAATTACCGGTTTCGGCACTCACAACATCGAGAAATGCCTTAAATCGGAAATATTGAATTTCAAAATTGCAGCATTTTGATTCAGAGGGGCTAATGCATAGGAATACCCCTCTGAATGTGTGACGTCATCGCAGATATCTAACGATTTTTAAATGTTTGACTAAAACGTTTTGTAGCACGCGGTGGTATATGCTGCTTTGCGCGCAACAAATGCCGCACTTTCAAATAAAGTCGCTATAGGAACAGCGGAGATCCCAAAAAGTAAACAAAAGTAAAAGTCTAATATCTTGAAAACCGGTGAATATTTTTCGATGAAATTTGGTAGATATTCGTTTTTGCTCTTTCTAAACCGAGCGACATCACTTCCATGCCAATTCATTAACTTTTTTGAAGGTGGGAGGGTCCCTTTAACAAGACATTACACGCCATAGCCATGAGCATTCACACATTGACACGAAGGCGTACGTCGCTTGATTTATCATTGATCAACTCAGCAGTCAACAGTCAAACGATATAAAAGTTTGCGCATGAGCATAGGCGGCACACATTTAAAGGAAAAGGGCCACCTTTAACATGGGGATTGAAACTGAGATAGCCATCTTGTAGCCCGTGTCCGAAAAGGGCTCTGGTATTAACTGGATAATTCGCCAGCTGACGCCGTATGGTGGCGCTAGTGGAGCAGCACCATATGACGTCAGCAGAAAACACCGTGAGCAGCTATGAAATGGGAGCGAGCACCACGGAAATATCGAAAGGTGATGGACATGTACTGACTTTGGTCATTCAAGTACCACCAACACCATACAAAAACCATATAATATCATCAAGACTGATTTTGGAATCGATTTGTTCGGGTATTTAAAACACATAAAAAATGTTTGTTACCGAATTCTGAAACAGTATAAGGATATTCTTGTTTCTTACTTTTACCTTGTGGAGTACTTTTACTTGCTTTCTAGTGCGCCCATCACTATCATGAAATCTGGATTGCAACGCTGTAAGAAAACTTTTTTTTCATTTGTCATTTCTTCCACTTTTGAGCAGTGATAATTTATTTGGTTTTATACATTAAATAATGAAGACGGCTCCTAACTTTTTAGGGATCTGCAGTGGCCCAGAGAGCAAAATCAGATATTTTCTAGAAACTTGAGGCCACTATTTTCTTATATGCTAGATAATATACAAATATTGACATGTAAAGAATGATACGGGTGTATAATTCTGCAGAAATATAAATTCAAAGCATTTAAATTTTTCAAGAACCTTTTCAAAATCTTCCATAATGACTTCTTTCGATACAAGGTGGAAGCAATTTCAGTTAACAATAAAGCAGCACAAGGCAGTACCTTGAGCTGCGATGATCCATAACCAATCGGCACCTGCAATTTGATTGATCTTCGAGATGTACCCTGCCCCTGCCTCTATTCCCTGACTTTCCCTTTTCGTTGTACCGGGTGAAGTGAATATTCTGTGAATATTCTTCTGACAGTCAGTTTTTAGTCCTACATTATGTTGTCAATCAGATTTAATTGGTTCAAAAACCGTCGTAGTCCGTCTCAATCGCAGTCTACATCTCCACATGCGCACCCATACATGCTCAAAATTTTCACTACGTATGTACTATGTACCCTGCAGCGTATCCTGATGAAAAATGTTTTGTTGAAATCAGACACTTCCCAAAGTAGGCCATAGTCCATGGCCATATATTTAAGTCAAAACAGATGAAACAGATAAACACAATTCCAATCATCAAGTCAACCAGCATCGACAATCTGCACATAAGTTCTAAACCTATTGCAAGACTACTTTGTATTCAAACTTTGTATTGCAGAAGGGTGGAAGCTGCATGGAATTATGCGACAATTTCAGCGTGCATCCACGCTCGAAAGAGCAGGGTTAATTGTAACAATGTCAATACCATAACAATAACGTAATTGTAGGTGTTGTGATTCGGTTGTCTCTTCTCTGTGCTGGCCATTGCGCGGGCGGTCCAGCGGCGGAACTTGGCTTCGCCGCCGTGGCGCGCTGGCAGTTGCTTCTTCTTCTTCTTCTGCATCCCACCGCCAACCCGCTCAGGGGGGGGCGGCGGCGCAGGCGGGTCGAGCGGCGGCTCGGTCCGCCCAACATCCTCGATGAAGGTGACGACCTTCGTCGCCGGGCCGCCGGGGACGTCGACCAGGCGAGGGTCGACACCCCATCGGCGGCGGCGGGCCGCCTCATAGGCCGGACAATCGGTCAGTAGGTGCGCCGCGCTGTCGGGCTCCCCGCACGCGGGGCATTCGTCGTCGGCTTCCGGGCCAATCTTGTGGAGCGTGTCACGGGTCAGCGGTGATGTGCCGGTCCTCAGCTGGGACAGCGTCACCGACCCCAGCGCGCCAGGGAGTCGTGGCCAGGCGTGGGGTCCGGGTGCGGGTGGGCAGCGGTTGCCCTCTGTCGCGACAGCTCCCGGACATGGCGCGTGACGGCGGCCCGCGCACTCGAAAGGTCGATCGGTGCGCTGTCTTGGTCGCCCGCCGTGGCCTCGCCAGCCAGGCGGTCGGCGGTTTCGTTGCCGTCCAGCCCGGCATGGCCTGGCACCCACTGGAGCACCGTCTCGGTGCCGTTCTCGGCGAGGGTGCTCAGCACTCAGCAGCCTCCACACCTCGGCGGCCAGGGCCATGGTCTGGTTAGCTGGGCCGCGGCCGAGTAGTTGGAGCCCAGGCCTTGAGTCGGTGAGGAGGCGGACCGACTTGGTCGATGCCAACTCCCCGTCCTCCAGGCCGGCCACAGCCGCGAACGCCTCGCGCATGGCGGTCAGTTCTGCTCTTAGGCTGGAGCAGACCGCCCCTGCAGGAGCGCGCACGGTCTCTTCTCTGTTGAGGTGGTGGAACTGGATCAGCGCCTGCGCCGCCCTGTTCCGTCCGCCGCGAGCCGAGCCGTCCGACCAGATAGTGACGTCCGGGTGCGGGAGCTCTGCAGTGGCTCGCAGGGCAGCTTCCCTGCGGACTGCAGGCGGGTCCGACCGGCGGGTGGCCACGGGCAGGTCCACCCTGAAGGTGATGCCGCCGTGGTGGCCCAGCCATGGCGGGTTGCAGCTGTAAAATGCCGAACCTGTAACACAATAGAATTGCAATTGTAACAAAGACCTGCATGGTCAGCACACATCTGCAGTGACTGTCATCCCAAGTTGGTATGAATTGGCACAAAGTTGGGTCATGGTAGCAGACATAGCACAAGCTGTTGTGTTGTGAATTGTGATATGCCATACCGTAGGACTAGGTCGTGGGTTGTAAATTTTAGGTTTAAGGCTGTAGGTTGTAGGTCAGGTTAGGTAAGGTTTGGTTAGAAAGACCCATTCTCGTGCATCGGGCAGCTTGTGCTACATCTACCTTACCAATACCTGCTTTTGTGTGTATGTGTGTGCGTGCGTGTGACAGTTGTATGTTTGATCGTTGTCATTTTGTGCCTACTCTCCCATTGCCGATTGACGTTCATTTGTTTTATCACGTGACGAAAGGCAGTAATAGCCGCAAGTATATTGCGGATGTCCTTAATACAGTATGAGATGAGATGAGAGATACCCAATTTGGAATCCCAAAATTGATGGCAAACAGGCTTTTTGTATAACAAATGTGGTTAATTGTTCTAATCCCCGCTGCAATGTGAGGGTAACTGCTTTTCTACAATCACAATATTTGGATTCATATAGGTAGGTGTTTACATGTTCAGAAAATGATACAAAATATGACACAATTATAGCTGCAACTGGATAGTGGATACCAACCTCAACTAAAAGTTTCTGCAGCCTTATAACCTAACAAATGACTAAATTGCTAAAATAAATCCCTTAGTACAATAGCTTGACTCTAAAATAACAGAAATTTTGCATGCAGACCCTGAAATGGAGGGTTTATGAAAAGTAACAAAAATAAACATTCACTAATATCAATATGTTGTTATAAAGCATATTTACGTCTGGACAACGAGTTGCGGGGAAAAGTGCTGATTTTGCCGCAGTTTTAGGAGCCGGTTATTAGGCTGGATTTTCGGGTTACTTTTTCGTTCTGATTCCTGTATTTCATGG